GATGTGTCTTAAGTAAACGTGTTTTTGTTTTCCAGTTTTTGAGAACAAACTCTAACCTGAATCTATTTCATCATTCTTTTTTAATCGAGTATTTCCTACACTGATAAAGCAAGTGGAGACAATTCTCACCCTGGGATTCTAAGTAAAAACAAAAACATGAGCTACTCCAACGGGGACCTAAGTTTGCTTGCACTAACCTCTGCGCACCCCCAGTGTTGCATGGATCCCTCAATGTGGCTCAGGGTAGAAGGGAGCTAGCAATTGGGCTGCATCACAAACAGATCACTGGGAATCTTTTCTACTGTAGCATTTCCCAGATTTGAAATGCTCCACAGGAGCCTATACATGGATGCTATCATTTATTCCAGATGTGTTTTCTTATCTGTGTACATTTGTCATGCCAAAGAACTTTGTGAAAGTATCTGGCACGTAGATGCTTCCTTCTTCCGCCAACAGGATGTTTTAGTCCTTAAAGTAAGCAGAAGAATCCTCTCAGGGGCTTTGACAGTAAACCTAAAAGGATAGTCTGAGGCAGGGAAAGATGCCAGCTACTCCTCAGAATGAATGGCCAAATAGAAGTTGGACTTAAGATAAAGAACTACTAAATAAATTCCATTGTCATAGAAAGATCTTATGTGGATGGAGAGAGCTGTCAACAAGTGAATATGATCTTGTTTGGGGACTGGCAGAGCTTCTTATCCATCACTGAAGTCTTCAATCTCAGCACTTAGGAGGCAGAGGCAGGCAGATCTCAGTGAATTTGAGGCCAGCCTGATCTACAGAGTTCCAGGACAGCCAAGGCTATTGTACAGAGAAACCCTAAACAAACCAAAACCAAAACAAACAAAAAACCAAAAAGACAAACATGGTGTGTACTCACTCATATATGGATTTTAGACATGAATCAGGGGATTGCTAGCCTACAATCCCACTGCCAGAAACTCTGGGAAACAGGAAGGACCCTAAGAGAGATATGCATAGTACCCCAGAGAAGGGGAATGAGGCAAGATCTCCTGAGCACATTAGGAGCATGCAGGGGTTGGGGGGAGGAGAGAGGAAGCAGGTGGGGGAGAAGAAAGGGGGAAAAGAGGAGGTGAGAGGAGGACATGGGGGAGCAGGAAGGTTGAGTCAGGGGAAGAATAGAGGAGAGCAGGATGAGAGATACCATAATAGAGGGAGTCATTATAGATTTGTGGAGAGATCTGGCACTAGTGAGATCTCCAGAGATCTACAAGGACGACACCAACTGGCAAACTACGCAGTAGTGGAGAGACTACCTTAAATGCTCCTCCCTGATAATGAGTTTGATGACTACCTTATATGCCATCCTAGAACCTTCACCCAGTGACTGATGGAAGCAGAGGCAGATACCCATAGCTAAACATTGAACTGAACTCCTGGATCCCAGTGACAGAGAGGGAGGAGTGATGAGCAAAGGGGTCAAGACTGGGCTGGTGAAACCCACAGAAACAGATGATCTGAACAAGAGGGAACTCATGGACCCCAGACTGATGGCTGAGAGGCTAACATGGAACTGATCCAGACCCCCTGAATGTGGGTGTCAGTGAGGAGGCCTACGCAATCTATGAGGCCTTGGGTAGTAGAGTAGATCAGTATTTATCCCTAGCATACAAATGGACTTTGAGTGCCCATCCCACAATGAGGGATGCTCTCTCAGCCTGGAGTCTTGGGGGGAGGGCCTAGGCCCTGCCCTGAATGAAATGACAGACTCTAGAGATCCCCCACAGAGGGCCTCACCCTCCCTGGGGAACAGAGTGGGGATTGGGTGGAGGGCTGGGGGAGGGGCTGGGGGGGAGCAGGGGAGGGAGAGGGATCTGTGATTGACATGTAAAGCAAACTTGTTTCTAATTTAAACTTTTAAAAAATTTAAAAAGAAGAAAAAGGAAAAAAAGAACTGGTTTAGAAGATAAAATATTTATTTACCAGTTATGCAAGAGGATCTGAGTTCAAATCCCCAGAACTCACCTGAATGTCATGGGTATGTGGTATCTTACCTATAATACCTGTTTCAAAAAACAGGCACTAGATACTTAGAGCAAGCTGGTTAGCAAGACTAGACATATCAATGGGTTCTGGGTTTGGTTCAAATAATAAGATGAAAGAGTGACTAGTGACATGATTACACACACACACACACACCAGAAAAGAAAAGTATATGAGATTTCATGGAGTGTCAAAGTAAAGCTTTTTTAAATGTTTATTTCATTTTCTATGTCTGTTTTTCCCTGCATGTATATATGTGGACCACATTTATACCCACTGCCCATAGAGGTCAGAAGAGGGCATAAGAGCCCCTGTAACCAGGCTTATAGATTGCTATGGGAGACCATGTCAATTCTGGGATTCAAATTTGTTCCTTTGCAAGAACTACAAATGCCCTTAATCATCAAGCCATCTCCTCATCCCCAAATGAAGCCTTCTTTTCTATTTGGCTCTCATAATCAGACCCTGGATCTGGTTTTCAGGCAAATCTGCTTTCTGCTTACTGTAGTAAAGGCCCCTCTGAGTTCTGTCAAAGAGGATTTGGGGTTTTTACTTTGTGCTCTGGATTAATGTTTGCTTAGGCCTATAACTACACAGTCCTTTCTAATGTCAATTGTATAACCTCATTCAAAATTTGATAAACTTTTGAATGCCTGTATCCTTTCCTTCTTGGTCACTGGTGAGCTTCCTAGTAATCTGGAGATGTTGCAGTGTATCTGGGCATGTCAGTAACCATGTTCCTTCTATAGCGTAGTGTCACTCACTCTAGGCAGCTCAGCATCCAATTCTAGAAGAATTGGCTATGTTTTGTAATTAAAAAGAATTTTTTATTTCAAAGTCAAAATAAAATACCAGGGGATACTCAAGCATATGTCTATACAGACATATGTATACATGTATGTATATCTTGCTTATAGGCAGAATGACACATTCTCTAAATAAATTCTCATTGGTTTCTGACATGCATGCAGTATAGTTGAAGTTCTTAAACCAATGCTTTCATTAAAATGTTTTTTCTTTCCCTCCTCCCTCTATGCTTCTTCCTCATTCTCTCTTCCTTTTTCTTCTCATCCTTTTTCTCTTCCTCCTACCCCTCTCTCCATTCTACCCCTCTCTATAGCTAGGCTCTTACTGTGTAGCCCAGTCTTGCTTGGAATTCCCTTTATAACCAGTTTGGTAACAAAGCTGGGATTTTTCTGCTTTGACCTCCACTTGCTAGGATTATAGCCGCACACCATGCTCAGTTTATATTCAGCATCACCTTCCTTATAGTGACTCTTTGAAAAGAATCATCTTCTCTATTTTAGTAGGTGTTTTCCTTCTTACTGTACTTCCCATTTCTTTGCCAATATTCTTTTGAATAAATGAGCCTATGAGAAAGGACTCATGTAGCATTACCACAGGTGTCAAGAGTCTACAGAAAATAATTTTTGATCACCTTTTTTATCTATTTGTCCTGAAAATACTAGAATTGGCTTGGTATTCAAATTAGAAGAATGGAATCCCAAACCCACATTTGTTACTTATTGCTTCTGTGTACTTTGAAAGTACTCTCTGAACCTTCTTTTCCTAAGATCTCAAATACAGGTAATAAAAATTCATACTTAATATCATCCCAACATTCCCTGTTCATGTGTCCCTTGCCACGATTGCCCACATCTCTTCTTTTGTCATGATTCATTGTGGCTTTTTCTTACTGCCAAAAAGACTCATCCTGCCACTCTTTTAGTAGCTGGCTTCCCATGCCTCAGTTCTCAGCTCATGTGGGACTTTCCTTGAATCTGATAGGGCTTTTTTTAATCCTATCTAAAGTAACTTACCTTATGAACTTCAATGATCCTTATCACAATATTCTTTAAGATACACATAACACACAGTGATTATCTTATGTGTGAATATAAAATGTTAAGTTTGTGTATCCAGCTTTAAAAAGGCAATGTGGATGTAGGACCTGGCATAAAATAGAATCTTAATAAATCTTGTTAGTTAAACAAATGTCTCAGTTTACTTCATTGAGCTTGGTTGTGTTAATGTATAATATGTCGAAAACAATGAAATTATATTGGTGTTTGTGTTATAGCCCAGATGCAAATACTTCAGAATTTTCAAAGTGTCCTTTATGTCAGTCACTTGATACTAAGACAAAATATTAGTCTTTCTATGAATTGTATGGATTTTAATATATAATAATGCTTCAAATGTTTATGTTCATCATTATTGCATATTATCTCAATTATGTCAGCTTAAGCAAATTAATTTTGGGTACAATCTGAATTGTGAAAAAAACAGCACATATAAAATGAAAAGCATCCTTTCCCTTTTCTGTTGACCAAAAGTTTTAAGTCTCCTCAATACTCGAGTTAAGTGGAAAGAGCAGTATAGAGCTCAGACACTTCTGAACTGTCAGTCACAGAAGTGCTTGTCAACTTTGAGCCCAGTCTTAACTGATCATGGGATATGCATGAGGATGAGCCACTTGAAACCATCACGTGATATGTACCTAATATCAGAAAAACATGAGGCACAGAATCCAGCAGACTGGCGTTCTACAGCCTGCTGAAGGAAGCAGACCTCTCAACGCCACAGCAATCACTTACAGTCTATTTTCTTCTCAGCCATCTGGCACATCAAATCAAGAAGGCTCAGATTTTGAATTGCAAAGTGATGCCCCAAAACATGTTGCTATAACACATAGAACTAGGGCAAGAGGGAATTAGTCAAGCAAGAAGATTGTTGGAAGAAATGTAGCCAGATGTTTCTATGCATAGAGTGAAGGAAACTTACATTGAAAACCTTTTCCGGAAACAAAATCTTTTGTAACTGCAATTCTTCAATGAGATTGTATTGATAGTTTGTTCTAGAGTCATCATGGGGAACATATGGAATGAGAATGTTGGTCTCTAAAACCTATGACATTGCTAAGATCAGTTGCAGGTCCATCTTTCCGTGGTGTGCTGGCTCTTTCAGGTGCAGGCTGACCTCTAGCTCTTTATCTAACAGTTTTCCTAATCTGCATCCTCCTAGGTTCTTCTGTTGACTTATAAAAGGCAAGCTGTAACTGAAGAACCCAGCTAGTGAAACCACTTGGACTTTAATCACTTTTTAACTTCACTTGGGGTCAAGGTAAGAAAGAACACACTGCATTTTGTATTTTTAATACCTTCAATATGCTTGGTTATAGTATATGTATTAATTTATCTCATTGAGTCATTTCTGTCACACTCTATGATCATTTTTAAATGATAAGGAAACTAAGGTGACCACCATTGGGGATATGTCAGGTGACAGATGTAATAGAGCATGGATGTGAATCCATCTCAACCACACAGCAAGTAGTCATGCGCTTCCCATCATAATTTCTGCCTTTTGCTTGAGGTCTATTAAATGTCAGCCTTCTTTTCTCATTGACATTAGGGCCAATTTGTTTGACATAGAGAGAATGCTTCCAAGTCCAGAATTTAAATTCAGCCCCATGAAGAGTTTCAGGATTTACAGTACTACCTGTAAACATTTTAAACCAGGCTATCATCGGGTAGCCCCATGAAGTCTGCTTTCATCAATGATGATGGTCAGAAACTAAAGTTAGTCTCTGTTGGAGATGGAACCCTGGGGCTTGCTGTGCCAGGAACTCTTGTCAGTGGTAGTTGCTCTCAGAAGTGGTAGCTCTCACCAGGTTATTGTCTCATTATCTCCTCTCAGTGCAACGTCTTGGCAGCAAGGCAAACAAACCGTAGTCTTTCATGGGCTAGTTAGCTGTAGGCAACTTTGCACCATAATTTTGGCTACCCCTTCAGCCATGGCTTATATTACCTAAGGTTTATGAAGTGTTCAGCCTCCTCTTCACATCCAATGAGCATTATTCCCCCACAGAAAGGGGAATGAAGAAATATGCACTGTCTTCTGAAAGTACCCAAATTGAGGTTTTTTTTTTAAAGAATAAGGTAGGAAAATCCCAAAATCTCCCTTCTCAGGCATAGGAGCATCTAAATGAATTAATATCCAAGGAGATGTCAATATTTATTCAGTAATTCTAACTAGTTACAAGGAGTGTTGGAAAAAAACTCTTCAGATTTCAGGTAATTCTCACATTTTGGCACTCCCCAGCTAACACTGCATGGAGTAGAGGTAAGCCTCTCCGCTGATGCCTGTCTGAAGGGACAATTCATGAGACATAGGGAATGGGGTGCTACTCTTTATGTTGGAGTTTTAACTGAAAAACTACAAGGCCCAGTTTTCCCCTGAATCCTGCTGGACCGCTTATCTCAGAATCTATACACCTTCATGCTTGTATAGAACATATTATTAATGCTGGGATGAGTTTCTTGAAAACAGGTATCTTGTTGAGTCATCGGTATATTCTAATACAGTGAATTTCTAGGCAGGGGTGCCCTATAAATATTCCTTAGCTAATTAAATCAGATGCTGTGGAAGAAAACCACCTCTTACTTTGAAAATTCTGCAGACATAAAGATATGATATGAAGTAGATTTATTAAAACCTGTCTAGTTCCTGAGTTCGAAGCACATTGACCCTTAAGATCATTCCAAAGTATGCACATCATAGAAAAAGCATATGATGCCTGACTCTTCAGTCCCCTCACTCTCTATTTAATGCTCCTCTGCAATTTGATACCCAAACCTTGGAATTTATTTAAGAACTCAAATCACATTAGAGCCTCATCATACCACCCACCTTTCTAATTAATGAGTCACAGCACAAATGAAGCAAGTTTTCAGTTAATGAGCTACAAATAAATCTATCTGTAGATACTAATTACCACTAATATCCAAATTAGTTACACTCCAGGTTTGTTCTCTTTGAATTTACATTAATTTGTCTCCTTTCCCCTAATCAGTTAAGTCTCATCTAAAGATAATTACAGAGATGTGACTTCCAGGATGGAGTGTGTAGAATGCGACTTTAACGGGTGACATCATTAAATAAAAACAACCCGCTAATTATTTAATGTCTCTGTACATGGCTGAAGGCTGTACAGAAATGAAGAAATATTTATTCAAGGAAATCCACGTGGTCAATTAATGTCGATAAGGGCAGTGTGTGTATACAAGGAGGAAAGAAATGTTTCTTCAATAAATGGATATCCACATGAAAAATGTAACGGAAAATGGAACCTTATCTTCTATAAGAATAGCTCCAAATAGATTAAAGACAATCAGGTAAGTATAAATCCATAAAACCCTTAGAATAAGGTAGGACTAAGTCCCTTGACATTGGACTTGGTGATGGGTTTTATCTTGAACACTTGAGGGCCAGACAACAAAAGCAAAAACAAAATTGGACTGTGTCAAACTACAAAGCTTCTGCAAAAGAAAGAAAATGTTAACAAAATGGGAAGACAACCCATAGGATGGGAGGAGAACATCTGTTAGTCATTTATGTGATAAGAGGTTAATATTCGATATATATATATATACATACACACACACATATATATAAAGAATTTCTGCAAGTCAATAGCAAAAAGTAAATAATTTAATTTACAATGGGCAAAGGAGGACCTAAAAACAAATGCCTTATAGTATTTAAAGTAGTTGAAATAAAGATGTATAAACCAAAACAGCTGAGCCAGGTTGTGAGGGAGAAAAAGAAAAGCATCCAAAATATTGTTAACTATAATGCCTTTGCCAGGCATGGTGACATATACATTTAATCCTGTACTGGGGAGGCAGAGGCAGGTAGACCGATCTCTGAGTTCAAGGCAAGCCTGGTCTACAGAGTGTGTTCCAGGACAGCCAGGGTTACACAGAGAAACTTTGTCTCAGGAAAAAAAATCAAAACAACTGTGTTGTGTGATATTTTGATCACACTTGGACACTCAATAAAGTTTACCTGAATCAGAGGGCAGAGCTAGCTACTAGTTGACCAAAATTGGCCATAGAGGTTTTGGAGGACTTAAAAAGTATAGAGAGGCATACAAAGTAGCAGGGAGGGTTTTAGAAAGATTCTAGCCCTTTTCGGATCCAGGAAGGAGATAGAGAGGAGGTCTCAGGTCGCTTCTCCGCTGTTTCTCTGATCAATCAGGTTCTTACCCCAATATCTGACTCCCAGGTTTTTATTGATTAATAATAATTAAATAAATGCCTCATCTGGCATCCAATGGGGGGCACAAGATCACGAGGCAGCCACTTGCTTGCTGCTGACTTTGTAGTTTCCGGAGTTGCCACCCTGGCTGGCTTCCCCTCCCTCCCCCCAGACCCTCTGTGCAAGTCTGATGTCTTTGCCTCCCTAAAGCAGCTTCCAGCTACTACTCATCCCTGGTATCAAACACTACAGGAGCCATGAGAGATACAGCAGGTGATAACTAGTGTTCAGCAGGCCGACCTACCAGATACATAAGTGGTTCTCTGATGAGGAACCCTACCTGGCAAGGCTATGTGTCACTGGCTGTGGAAACCAGTTGCTCCTGTCTGTTATTTCTCTCATGAGTCACTTCATTTCTTCCCTAAGAATAGCTTTGGGTGTTTTCTCACTGCTTGTGTGTTTGTCTCATGAAAATATTCCATCTACTGGATACATTATCTGTGGGTGGTCTAGAAGAAGATGAATTTTTATTTAGCTATATTATTTTGATATATTGAATAAATACTTGGACATGGTTCATAACTGGATCTATTTGTCCCACAAGGACTGTGGATTCTTAACAGCCTGCCTTGTTCTCTTGCTCAGACTAACTGCACACAATTAACTCACTTTCACCTCAGAGCAAGTTCAAGCTAGACTGAAGGCCTTTTGTAAATAGATCATAAGTTTGAGACATTACAGATATGTACAAGGTCAGAGTCACAGATGTTCAACCAATGTTATTAAGGAAAGCATGCCAATTCTTCACTTCCCAGTCTACTAACGGTGGATCTGTGTCTCAAAGTTGTCATTGGGCACTGTGCACCCCTCAGTCTGGTCAAGGTTTGGTTCCTATGGTCCTGGGACCTTATGTTGCCATGGCAATGGCTCAGCTCCTTGCTTATCCTAGGAATATTCTCTTGGCCAATGAGAAGGTAACTCTTGTAATTTCCTTATCACATCAAGGCTCCTGTAGAAGAGTTTTTGGAATAGAAGGGGAAGCTGGAGAAAGAATCTAGAAGGAATTAGGACATGATTATTAGAGTAAAAACAGAACAATGAAGAAACTGGTGTGGAAAAGTACACAGTAGAGCATCATTTCTCCCTCAGATCTTTTAAAGTCCCATGCTAGCTTTAAGCTTTCTAGCGAAACCTTGAGAGGTCTGAGGTACCCAAAAGACCTTGATACCAAACATGCCCAAGTTAGCCACCCACCCTCCACCAGCTCTGCCATTCAGGTGGTCACAAACCACATCGGCTTCTTCCAAATGTCCTCGCGGTTCCTTACTCCCTCTCCCTGTGGATTGCAGGCTTCCCCTGGACCTCCTCCTCCTTGGACCACTGCCCTGCCAGGTCGGCTGCCTTGACACCTGTTCCAGCTTTACTTGCTGCTGCTATTGCCACACATTCTCAGCCCCCAGCTATACAAGAGCATCTGCAGCTGCAGCCAGCAAGGCTCCGCACCACCTGCCCCCAGGAAGGCTCTGCACCACCTGCCCCCAGCAAGGCTCTGCACCACCTTCATTCTTTTCCCACTGGCAGCTGCCCTTGCCCTTAGCTGTCATAGTTAAAGGTAGAATTGTTTGTTTTTTCAAAGAGTTTTTACCCACATTAAGAATGGGGAACAATATTATGATGCAGGGAATTAGATCTCTGTAGAGTTCCACAATGGATGGCGTGAAAATAGAAAAAAATTAAATGAAAGGGTAAGCAATTTAGCTGGGATTGACATGTCAATTATAATCACTGTCAGTTTGGTAATTCATGTTTTATTCTTTTTTAATTATTATTTTTTATCTAGGTTAGAAACAATCTTGTTTCACATATCAATCCCAGCTCCCTCTCCCTCCCCTCCTCCCCCGCCCTCCCCACCAGGTCCCCCAGTCCCTCACCCAATCTCCACTCTGATCCCCAGGGAGGGTGAGGCCCTCCATGGGGGATCTCCAGTAACTGTCATTTCATCCAGGGCAGGGCCTAGGCCCTCCCCCAAGAGTCCCAGCTGAGAGCCTCCCATATTGTGGCATGGGCACTCAAAGTCTATTTGTACATCAGGGATAAATACTACCCAAGGCCCCATAGATTACCTAGGCCTCCTCATTGACACCCACATTCAGGGGGTCTGGGTCAGTCCCATACTGTCCACCCAGCCATTAATCTGAAGTCCAAGAGCTCCCCCCTTGTTCAGGTCAGCTGTTTCTGTGGGCTAAACCAGTCCAGTCTTAACTCCTTTGCCCATCAGTTCTCTCTTTCTGACACTGGATTCCAGGAGTTCAGTTCAGTGTTTCTCTGTGGGTATCTGCCTCTGCTTTCATCAGTCACTGGATGAAGGTTCTGTTTCCTAGACTCTCTGGCAGTGGGATTATAGGCTGGCACTTCCCTGATTCATGTCTAAAATCCATAAATGAGTGAGTACATACCATGTTTCCCTTTTTGTGACTGGGTTACCTCACTCAGGATGGTTTCTTCTAGTGCCATCCATTTGCCTGCAAATTTCAAGATTCCGTTGTTAGAGTCAGAAGCAGGTAACTAAAAATTAAGTTTGCATACCCCAGAAGTAACAGCAAATTGTGGCTCTTTAACTTCTCTAAGATCTGCTACATATGACATTTAAAATGTTTAAGTTTTATTCAGTAAATCATGATCATCTCTAACAGAAGACTTTGGAGTCTCCAAAAGGATGATGGATCCCCACAAAGACAAGCCCACTTGGATTGTGCTAATGATGTTAAGCTGACAAACACCACCAAAACATCAGTTTCAGACTGCAAACTGTTCAGGACAACTTCAAAGCTGCTAGCTGAGAGGGTCCAGCCTCACAGACTACTCTAGGCAGAACTTCAGATAAGCTCTACACTTTACCATTACACAGAGAATGTATAACAAATGTTACAGCTAATTTTCTCAGGATTTGACCATTATTTCTATTTTCTCAAGGTCTCCTGAAGATGCCACCACCCTCAGACAACAGGAAGTAATTTTAGGAACACAACACCCACTTTCTCAGGAGGTGGGGTGGGTATTTGTGGTTTATGGATGTTTATCATTATTGGGGGGGGTTGGTTGCAAGTTGTTACTGGTCATAGTCATGATAGAAACTAAGCAAAGGAGATTAGAGTTAGGGATTTCATTCTGAAAAGAAAGGGGGATGGTAGGAATGTTAGTATAAAAGGGTAGACTATAGTATCTACTTTTAAACTAAAACTGCAATTGCTAGTCTTAAATATTTTACATTAGTATGAATTTTTGTATATGACACAAATATAAGGTATTTTTGTTGTACTATATATGTGTTTATATTTTTAAGGTATTTTTGTATATTGACACAAATTTAAAGTTATTTTTGTTATATTGTATATATGTTTCTATTCTTCTTTAAGTTATTGTACATATGCATCTCATTTAACAATGCAGTATAAATTTTTAGTCTTTGAAAGTTATTATTAAACTATTTAGGATAATTAAGAAATACAGGTTAGTAGTTAGTCATCTAACAATCAAATTTGTGGCCATGTTAGGTATGTTTTCAAGGCCAAATAGAGATATATCTTAGATTGACAGATGTTCTTTAAACACTTCAGAGACCTAGAGAATATGGCATTTAAAATAATGACAATGAGACATGTCTGTCCCTGGCAGCAGCAATTTACTTAAAAAAAAGGATGATGGGCATCGAATGGCCTCCATATGAAGTTACTTTGATTGTGGCAAAGCTAGCCATCTGTGCAAGGAGCTGTCTGTGTCTTAGCTGCTGACAGTATACTGTTCAAATTGGACAAGCAGGACACAAAAGAAGTTGACTGCCAAACTTTGATAAGACAAGGTGGGACAGTCCTTTGAAATTCCTGCTTCACAAAAAAAAGGTCTCTCAGATGTTCTATGCCTGTAGCCGAAGATGGATGTTGCAAAGGAAACCTGGGTGACTTTCCAGGAAGCCAGATGTCTCTGTCATTTCTATAGTTCTGGAATTTGTTTGCTCTACACTTCCTGTTTACTCAGGTAATATGTCCTTCTCTAATCTTCAATTGTTTGAAGACTAGCTAGTTATAGTTATAGTTTTTCTTGTTACTAAATTCAGGAAAGAAACTCACAAAAGTAGTATAAAGTGTACAAGTTTAAGCGGTATAAAAATTGTTTATCTAAGATAATGTTCTGAAGTCTAAAGATAGAGTTTGGGGTTGATAATATAAGTTAGTTGATAATAGAAAGTGAATTAGGCACAAAACTTTGGACTCACCAACATAAGATAGATAATGTAGTATTTTCACTGAATTTGACAAATACAAATGGACTAGACTTTGTGAATGTAATTCTTACCTGATAATTGTTCTTATTGTGTATAATTTTACTGTGTTAGACTTAAAACCTTCCTTTTTATTTAGACAAAAAGGGGAGGATATGGGATATTTTCATTGCACTCTAACATTCTTGAGGCTGTCAACAAAACTTACTTTGAATCAGAGGGCAGAGGTAGCTACTAGCCGACCAAAATTGGCCATAGATGTTTTGGATGACTGAGAACATATACAGAGATAAAGGAAATAATGGGGAGGGTTTTAGAAAGAGTCTTGGTCCTCTTTTGGATCCAGGAATGAGAGAGAGGAGGCCACTGATTACTTTTCTTTAATTTCTCTGATCAATCAGTTCTTACCCCAATATCTGACTTTTGAGTTTTTATTGATAAAGAATAATTAGATAAATGCTTCATAGCTGTTATGAGGGACTAAGAAATGTAGAGGAGGGTGAGAAAATAGGCTAGTAGATGCAAATCACAGCCAGATAATTTATAGTAGTACAATGATGATAGAATTCAACAAAGCTTGACAAGAGGATTTCTAATGTTCTCAACACAAATAAAAGATAAATATCAGAGATGGCAAATAACATAAACTTCTTGAATTGATAATGGTACAATGTATAAATATACTGAATCATGACACTTTACTCCTTAAAGTTATGCAATTGCTGCCAGTCAATAAGTAAGTAAGAATGTTTCAAAATCAAAAGGAGCAAAGGAGTGGATTAGCATTTTTCCTCCAAATAAGATATACATACAAATGATCACTATATGCATAAAAAGAAGTATTCAAAGTCACTAATCATGAGAGAAATGCAAATTAAGACAAAGTGGCACATTACTTCACTAATTAAAATAGCCCCCCACTATCAAAGAAGATGACATACCTACAAATTGAGGAGAATGTGGGAAAAGGGATCCCTTGCTTACTGTTGGTATCCCTTGCATACTGTTGGTATGGATCCTAACTCGTACAGCACCTATGCAAAACTATTCAGAGGTTTCTCAAAAAAAAATTAAAGTTAGGGCTACCATATGCTATAGCGATTCTATTACTGAGGAGATAACTAAAAGAAATGCAATCATGTCAAAGAAACACCTGCAATCGTGATCACCACTGCACATTCACAGCAGCCAAGGTAGGAAGAGAAGCCAAGAATGCACTGACCATGTGCTGACAGTGTGTGTGCAGTGGGTTGTTACCATTCTATCACAGAGAAACACATACAGGAAACTAGGGAACATCATACTAAGGCAAAATTGTACAAGGCTGTTCACATGTGGAATTTGAAGAGGTAAAACTAGAGTATAATAGTGGTTGCCAGAGCTGAAGAGTGAGGAAAACTGGAAAACATCCACCAAAGGGCACACAGCATTTCTGGTCAGTGTGAATAGGTTGTGGGGATCTAATTTAAAACAGGGTGGTCATAGATATATTGATTAATGTGATGATCATTTTGTGGTACCTATGATATATATATATGTATATCAAGCCAGCACATGCTATACTTTGAATATACAAAGATCATTTGGACTTGCTGATAACAGTGAGTGGTTATGACACTTAAGCTTCAGTCCACTCTTCCTCACCTTTCAGCCCTCCCTCAGCATCCTGGAAGCTCTAATCCAGAGGAAACTCTCCCACAAAGCACGTAAGTGCTATTGAATCTCTCTAAGGTAAATAAATCAGCATGATTTTCCAACCACCTCTTCAGAGGCCAGTTTCCACATCACTGTGGACAAGATATCAAGGACTTCTTTCTTCCACCAGTCTTACTGAGAGCTCCACTGGTCCAACCAGGAACAGAAAGTTGATGATACAATGTCCAATTATCCTTACCTCAGCTTTCTCATAGGGAGAATACTGCCCATTGGGAAGGGAAGGCTGTGGAGGTCGGTGCTACTGCGCTTGCCCAGTGCCAGCTCATAGAGTAAGAATGCTTTGTAGGAAAGGTAGATTATTAACCAGCTCTAAGATCTTGAGAGTGGCTCAGAGATTTGGCCACAACATGCAAGAAGCCACCCACTGAGTTGATTTGGAATAGGGGGTGTGGGAAAGGGGGTCTTCTCAGAGGAAGTGAACCTTGGGATTAACAGTTGAGAGAATGCTACAAACTCGGTGGAAGCAACCAGCACCACAGGCCCCCTAGTATCGCTAGAGATAACCAGGTGAAGAAAGAGAGCTGTGGAGATGAGCAGGCTCTCCTGCCTCCCAAAACCTGGAATTGTCAAGGAGTCTGAGTTCAACTGGGTCAGACTGTGAAGCAATTCATACACTGAGACACTATTTTATAAACTAATTAGCAGCAATTAATTCACTTTTACAGTTGGGTGTGGCTCTATCAAGGTGAGCAGTCCTACAGCAATCACAAAGGAACATAGAGCCCCACTGAACCCAATCACTCCCAGTGATTGATGTCATGCTTGAGGCTACAGTCAGTCCTTCAGGTTGCTGTCAGACAGTGCACACCATGAACAAAAGATTCTGTTAAGATAAACCAACCAAGCTACTTCACAAACAATGACTTTTGG